TGTCAGTGGCGTTCGCGCTGTCACTTTCTTTCCAGATTGTCTGATTGAGCGGTTGGAGGTGTAGGCACCTCAGTATGCTTGACATAGGCCAGCACTAGGTCCCCTCTCTCACCCACTCTTTTTCTCTTCTCTGTAGGGATTTTAATGCAATTATATATATATATAACTAGACAAACCTTATGGTTGTACGGCAGTGAAGCATCAGTGCCAACACTGATGTTGCTGTCATTGATGACGATGATGATGATGGTGTCTCAACATAGACGCACATAAGCTGAGAAAGAAAGCGAAAGCATGGATAATGCGGGGCGTTCTTCAAACCGGTACGCTGACGCTGTATGACATCAACCTGGTAGCTGGGGCATCCAAGGTGCTCTCTGGCCTCATGCTTCAAGGTTGACTGACCACAGGGAGAGACAGATCCGTGAATACCAAGCTAAATTTCGTCCTACAAGAGGATGCATGGATCAAATCTTCGCCCTCCGACAGATTCTGGAACGCCAGTACTCTTTCTAGCAACCAACATTAATTGAGTTTCTTGATCTTGACTTTGTGGGCCGTCAGCCACTATGACAGTATCTGTGGAGCAGAGGTGTACCCCATAAATTATTGATCCCCCTTAAGGCGCTGTACGGCAACTCCCACGACCGTGAGAACGTCTACGGGAAGTTCTCGCCTGAATTCTTCACATCAAGTGGTATCAGACATGACTGCCCTCTTTCACTTATCCTTTTCAACTTCGTCATTAACACGATCATGGGAGACCCACTATCGGCCTCTAATGCCTGTGGGATCGAAGTGCTCCTGGGGCGTCTGCTCACATGTCAGGTACGCAGACGACATAGCTGTTCTGGGATCTGATACCGTGATAACGCAAACATAATTAAATAATCTAAACAATTGTGCCTCACGATTTGGCATACACTTCACACCTGTAAATTGTAAAGTGCTGCTACGAACCTGTGTGGGCTTGAACCCTAACCTCATGTTTGTGGACGAGCTGATTGAGATAGTAGATAAGTCTGTGTACCTGGGAAACTGTATCAATCCCAGTTGTCTCGCAAGATATATTTCCATCCTGATTGGGAAGGCCAAAGCAGCTTTTGTGAATCTGCATCACCTGTGTCTTAGGCGTGACATCAGCTTATCCATCAGGGTCGAGTTCACAATGCTGCTGTGCACTCCAGGTTAGTATACGGGTGAGAAACTTGGTCGCCGAGTGAGGACATAAAAATGCTCTCACTGTTTGATCATCAGTGTCTTCGGAGCAGTGCCCGAGTCTGGTGGGAACATCAGATCAGTAATGCTGAAGTAAGTCGAGTGCTTTTCGAAAGAAGTAACTCGCCTACGATTGATGAACTGATCACACTCCATAGATTGTATTCCTTGAAGGGCTCTTTTCGCACAACTATGTGAAGGGTGGAACCGGGCTAGACTTGGCATCGAAGTATGAAAGCCATTATCAGGAAGCTCAGCTGCGCTCGTCCCTGACGTCTCCCTGGATGGGGAACTCGAGCTGAAACACACTAATGTTTAAAGGCATTGTCAGAGATGACGCAGTCATGCTCTCAGTGATGCTCATGTATCCAAGCTTGTTGCCCCTAATGCATAGCTCCCCTCCTAATCTCTCCAACTAAAAGTTCACCGACAACCCTATACTTGCGCATCAGTTATATTGCACGGTTATTACAGCTGATGGTAGTGATGGTGACGAGCTGGACCTACCGGGTCTGCACAAAAACTCAGTTTTATCTTGTGTCGGATGGTGCATCAAGTAGGTTTGTGGTTGCGGTCAAAAATAGTCTGTCTCCAAGACAATACATTCCCTGGATGTTCAGCACATGTGTTAAACCCTGACCGAAGAAAGCAGGTGATGTTGCTCTATACTACGATGCAACTTTAAATAAATGGGTAGTTCATGTACCAGCGGCTACATTTTCAGTCACCGAAAAATTGGAGAACAAAAGAAGCATAGTCAGGCATTGGAGGCGATGACATATCCACGTACATAGTGCTCAATTATTCTGATTGTCTGAGCAACTGTGCATTGTGAGCGATGATCGGTCTGCCATTTTCTGGAGTTCATAAAGCCCTTATATACTGTTGACCTGAAAAAACCTAATTACTTTGGATGATACCCCAGAAGAGAGAGATTTATGCGTACGCTTGCATTGCCCACCGTGCATCCATTTCTGTAGAGGACGGTTTAACTATCTGTCCTCCTGATGTCTCACTCGAGGCTGATCACACAACCTTAGTTTTTTAATCAATAACACTTGATTGTTTTATTGTGGTTGGTTGATCCAGTTTGACCGCAGCCAACTGTGGACGTTGGTGGATTCAAGCGTGAGCTTGAATCAGCTTCTTGATCGTGAGGATAGCGATGATCGCGCGCTGCCCCTGGCTTCCGCGAGCGGACAAAACAACCACTTGCCCGGGTAACCCAGCATGTCCGACACTCCAGCTGGCGCTCATACTGAGAACATGTTCAGAGGCAATAGACTGCCAACCTGACGGACACCTCTGATGGAGCATTAACGTACAACGGATCCTTCCTACTCTCAGGGTGAATGGTAGACCACGTCAGTAGCCCACACTAGAAAAAGATGGGTAGCACGGTAAGTTGGCTTACTTTGTAAGGGGTGAACGTGCACTTATTCACCCCACCGGTCTGAATCATTCTTGCTTAGCCCAGTCTTATGGGCTTTGTGTGGTGAACTGCCTGCGACTATAGTTTTCGATGGTGTTACTTCCCCGAAAGACATCCACAACCATATGTGCTCGCGGAAGATAGTAATCCATGGTTTTTTTGGTACGATGCTTTCGCTGTCGAGGATTTAAATCTAATCGAACGATCTTTTGGGTCCCGAATTCTTCCGTTGGGTCACTTGGCCTTGGACGCTTGTCTCTGACGACAATGACACGCGTGATTCTTTCCTATTGCACCTGTGTACTCCGTTGCTCACCATCCCGAAATGCCATTCTTATGTTTCCAGATTATACCTGAGCTATTCTCCGCGTCTACTCCAATTTCATGTTAATAGAACTTAGAAATGGCGCAATGTTTTATGCCGCAGGCAAGGTTGTACATGGATTTGGTCGTGGTTCAAAGCAGTTGGGTATTCCGACAGGTACTTTATCGAACTTTGAGTTTCAGTTCTTTCGTTTGTGTAGCTAATTTGGACGCGTCTGTTGTCGCTCGGCTACCTAGCACAGTTGCCAACGGTATATACTTCGGCTGGGCCCGAGTGGAGGGGTATCCCGTTTGCAAAACAGTGGTGAGTATTGGCTGGAATCCGTTCTTCAGGAATACTACCCGATCAGTCGTAAGTTCAGACCAAAATAGCATTCAATCTCAGATATCTTTAATCAGGAGGCCCATCTAATCGAACGGTTTGATGAGGACTTTTACGATCGGGTGATGCATCTACTCATCCTAAAATATCATCGACCAGAGAAGGATTTCGACAATTTGGGTAGGTTCTTCATTTACAATAGATATTTTATTGGGTGAATCGGACATTTGGATAGTTGTTGTAAACACCAATCACCCGACTACAAGACTACACTGTGAATGACTTTGGACAATCACATCTTGGTTTACTCAATACCGTGCTTAGCGGAATACCGTATTGTTGTTTTGATGAAACAGAACTGGAATCTTATTGCATCGTCAGTGACAGTTCAAACCCATTTCAACGGTAGCTCTATCGCCCCCCCCAAGGCTGATTCGAGTCCTCGTTTGGGCAGTTTGGACTCTCCCCAGTTTCTGAATTACTAATATACCTTCCTGCCTTAAAGGCCATCGAACGTCAGATTTAAAAGCACGTTCACCAGCGCCATTTGAAGACGAATTTTGTGATTTGGCTTTTTAAAACTAATTTGGAAATTGGACTGATTTCAGACGACTGTCCCCTGACTGCATTCAGTAGACAGATGCTCCGGGGGTACAGTGGAATAGTACACCCTGATCTGTCTCTGTTACACTGATTTGGCCAAACTGGTCGGGCTCAGCCATTTGTATAACAACCGTAAGAGCGAGGAAAGTGAGGGTTTGGATAAACACTTGCTTCCAGGGGGGCACTTTTGGTGACACGGAATGTTTTCCGCTACCTTATTTGCTCCATAATACTGATTTGCTCAGGAGGGGAGACCGCTACTAGAAACGTCTAATGTCATGAACCTAGGGTTGCTAATCAACACATTGAATCATTTGATCACATAAAACGTCAGTCACATTAAACGACTGTTGCCGTAGACTAATACATCTCGCTGCACCAGGGAACTTTCAAACTGAACTGAATTTCGCTTGGCTGATAATCCAGCTTGAGGTTTATTTATAGCACGATTCACTGGATTGCGCTCCGGTTGAAGCCCACCACATTGAAGTCAGTGAAGCTGGAAATCGGCAGGTTTACACTCACGTGTGAGTTCGACATACTGCACCTTTCCAAGCGGGATCATTTCCCTGGGAGGGGCTACACTGGGCACTCCCTACTAGTCGTGGTGCGACCACCCTAAAGAGTGACCGAAATTTTCCCCGTAATGATGAGATCTAGTCGGGTCAGAGTTGTTACTTAAACTACGACTACTACTATTTCTGTCTTTTCGAACGTCTTAATTTTATACACAACTTTCAGACGCTTTGGTCGACTGCATTCATGAGGATATTCGCCAGGCGAACCAGTACCTAGACAAACCGGAAGCCACAATCTGGAATCACACAAATTGGTTCGATCTCTACACGGTGCCCAAGTCTCCTATTTAGATTATTCACTATCTGTGCCATAGGCCCATTCTAGTCTTTGTTCATCGATGTCGATATGTCGTCTCTCAGTTTCTTTCCCTCCCCCTTTTATATGGCTGTGGTTATATCACGATTTCAAAGAATGTTGGCAATTGCACTTTCCTGTTTTTATATTTAATGGTGGGATTTGAACCTTATGTCTAATATATTACACGATGATCGGGGTTCCCTTCATCGCCTCATCCCTTCAACGAGGCAACTCGCTAGATGGTCCTGCGGACCAAAACGCGTGAGAAGTATGGGAGTTCTGTTGGTCTTGCATCGTAGCGGTCAACCACTAACTAAGCACCAGAGAGTCAGCTGTGCAGGCTGGTTTTTCTGGTCCAGGGACCTGGAGACAAAAACACAACAGCTTCAGTTTCACGAACCTTACCATATGATTTTAGAAACCGCTCTGAATAGCGATTGGGCGGCTGACCACATATGCAGGACCTATGGTTGTTTTCGGCTGGCCTGGTAAAATGAAGTTAGGTAGTCAGACAGACCAGTTTGGCAAGTTCCCTTACATGTAGTATAAGAAACCAAACTGCAGGAAACAAGTCGACAGCTTGGACGACCGATAAACACGGTGTCAGCCTAAAATGTATCAAGTCCACCCACCCACAACTTCACTATTGTTCCCGGATAGAGAAATAACAAGAGCCTAGTCGGCGAAGTCAGTTTTTGCTCGCTTTTAAGGTGCTTACTGTGGTGAGATTTGGGCTAGCTCAGATCGATACTTTTGAGCTATGGGATGGGAAACGAAATGTCAGATGTGCACGCTCCATGACGTGATCGGAATCAAGTGGTGTGCTCCAGAAGGAATAGCAGTCTTGAATTGTTGCTCCCCACAGGTGACTGATGGTCACGTGGTCCACGGTCGATTTGTAGTTGGTGGCCGCCAGGTTATGCGGTGCGAATGTTTATGTTGAAATTTCGCACTTACCAGAAACAGTTCATGGCCGGCACACANCGATCTCCGTTGTCTGTGCGGCGGATAGCTCTCGATAGAAAGTGTTCTGAGCATCAGAACTGCAGTCCGTTGGGGCATAAGCCGACACTACAAACAGGCATCCCTTTATGCCGAGAGGTATTGAGCTTGATTTAGCTGGATGACCGGCCGTCAATGGACGGCGCAAAAGTAACTGTTCAGTGGTATCCAGTCCGGTAAAGCGCGTTCTGCTCTGGGGCTGAGTGCAACTCCCACCCGATGTATTCCACGAGCCATGGCTTCTGGTTACCGGACACACTGAGGGCGAAATGTGAAAGAGATGAGCTCGTCCTTGACGTTCTGAGGTGCATAACCACGCTTGGTTCTTGTATGCGTGTTTCGGAGACACAGCATACATCAATTTCAATAGGTATAAGGTTTAGGCAAGCATTGACAGTTTGACATAGAGTGCGGACGATAAAAGCCCCTATATATATGAAGGATTCCGTGGGTTTAGAAGGGTGTCATCTTTATTTATTTTTAATAGGCAGCGAGAAGCATAAGGCTCTTCAGTCAACTGACAGCGACGGGAAGGGGTTCGGTAGGGACATCGGTGAACACCGAACTGCGCAAGCAAATATTTCTCGGTTACCCAGGGTGAGGAAGGGGGTATGGTTGAGGTACCGCACCTTGTGCCTTTGAGTCAAAGTCTGTCCACAAGGCAGTGGAAGAAAGTAGGGTTTTCTTTGGGGACCCTACCCGGAGCCGATGATTCAATATTCTGACCTCCTCGGTTGCAGGGGGTTGGCCTAACCCGAGTTCTGATCTCCTCGGTTGCAGGGGGTTGGCCTAACCTGAGAACGCTGGGAATAAGGCATTACTGCCTCATTCTTGATTCAGATGTGCACAGCAGATACCTTTTGAGCAGCACAGTTGTGCACAGCAGATACCTTTTGAGCAGCACTGGACTCTTCGGTGACGTCCGTGTGATTACAAAGGCAATAAGACTGCAAACTGTTGCAGCGCAATTACTGGTGACGTGATACGCGTAACACAAGGGCACGTTATACAACACGTGGCGTGTTGTTAGTGTACTGTGGCTGACGCAGACACTGCGAGCGGAATTGATGCGCGTTAGGCTCCCCATGACAACTCGGAAAGTCAGTGATATCCGGAAACAGTGAAACACCTAGCAAGGTGGACTGCATAAGACAGGGGAATGTTGGAGTTCAAGGCTTCCTAGTCGAAGATGTTTTTTTATTTCATTGTTTGTTAATGGATGCAGACCGTCAGCTGACTATTGGTAAACGGTTGTAGAGGGGTCAGACATGCCCAACTGAGACCCAATAAAGAATGAAGAAATCCGGTGGTTTCAAGCCTGCCGTATTCGCAGCAATTACTGCTGGACACTTTAGGAATTTTACAAGGTTTATCTGCCCGCTTACAGACCGGAGTCACACTCTCCAACTTTTCAATCCGACGAGGCCCGTGTATACGTGAATGGCAAAGTTTTCACAACCGGATTTCTGGCCAGATGTGGGCCGCATCGTTACGTGCCCGTCTCGTTCTAAACATAGGACTAAGTGGACTGTTTGAGCAAGTGCTTTGACGTCAAATTTATTGGATCTATTTGTCTTCACGGGAAGTGTGAGCGATAGGTAATGTTGGTGTTGATTCTCACTGGTATCACCTATAGCTGCCGCAACACCAAATAAATCCAAGTTTGGTTTCAGGAGGGCTTGGTTGGGTGGATTTTGACTGGTTAACGTTTCGCCTTTGACACAAGAGCTTCATCAGGTCAGATGAGCGAGTCACCAACTTGACATACGAAGAACCAATCAGTAAAGCCCCTTCAGATAAGCACACTCGACCAGTGTTGAATGTCGGGACAAGGGTGTTGTCGGTTAGTGGGTTGCCCAAATGGGTTTTTGATTGGCTATGGTTCCTTGATCTTCCGGGTCAAGACGCTTCAAATGAGAACAGAGCGCGAGTAAATTTTGTCAGTCTGTGTGGGTTTGTAACATTGACGACAGTTCAGTTGGGGTTGGCATGTGAGAATTGAGCTACTTGATGACTACTATTCCTGATAACCGCACCTCACGTGTCCTTATGGAAAGCCAACGGACACTGGGGCAATTTTGAAATACTGGTCTGCCCATCCGAGTTCGGTATTCGCTAGTATCGCCTCATCAATCTTTAGGCGTGTAAGGGTCCCGTGCACAGAATAAGCTGATCGGATAGCGGGCCAAATTGAAGTAAAGAACAAACTTCGGGTACCCAGGTAGTTTGATTAGGGGTGTTGGTGCCGGTAGCGGAACCCACTCAACGGAATGGGAATGGACTGTTGTGACGGCACGCAAATCAGGGAAATCGGAAGCTATTCGAAGGATTCTAAACACAACAATATCTACCAGTGAAACCCATGGTGAACCTGAAGTAGAAGACGAAGGAATCAAAGCTTATCGGAACCAGTTCGACAGTCCACGACCGGTTTCGCCCTTCTTGGGGCTCATCAGGTAGGCGCAGTCTCCGGGTTTCCGTCAAACTTATGTTCTACTTGAAACTAAATTGCAGGAACTAAGCGAAATACACTATTTTGCAAACATTTGGTTTTGCGAGAGACTCACCTGGAACCCAGCTGAATCTCTCCTTTGTAATGTTTCCAGGCAACCGAATGTTCATTTGTAAATGAGTGTATTTCGCTGATTTCATGCAATTTGGATTCAAGTAGAACATAAGGTCGACGGAACCTCGGGGACCGCCTACCTGATGAACCCTTTAGAAGGGAGAGACTGTCGAAGAATTTTCAGCTACCTTATTAGTAGTGCACTACGAATAAACACATCGCGACATCTCGAATATCGTAGCAACTGAAATATGAGGCGGTCTGGTGCAGCACATTCAGTTGCCTGAAGTTATCACAAACGAAAGGTTCAGCTGGGTTCCAGATGAGCCTCTCACAAAACCAAATTTGCAAATGGTACAAAGTTAAAGCTCTCCCAACCAGTCAACGCAAGTTTTTGGTAACTGCACTAACCGAGAAGAGCCGTTGATTGATAATGAACACTGATCTAGTGCGCTAATATGAAGACGTCTTACTGATTGTTTCTCCGTCTTGGCCCGATGAAGCTTTTGTGTCAAAAGTGAAACGTTGCTCAAGCAAAAACTACCGACTGTTTGCCAAGCCCTTCTGGAGCTTCCGCTATTTCACTTACCGTGCCCTTTCTGAAGGGGTAATGTCTGCTAGAAGCAGTCGCTCCTTTTGACATTGTCAGTTAACAGAATGTCATCTGGTTTCATGGTGACATCCACTACTTTGTTGGAAACTCATATGAATTCTTGATGTAAGTACTAGATTTTCCGATGAGCAGTTTTACAATACATCCGCCCAGCTCATGGACCGGGGTATGTGTTTAGTTTACTAGCGGTCTCACCGGGACACCTGGTTTATGGTAGGCCGTGAAGCCGTGGTTGGAGTCTCCTTTTGGAGTGCAGTCGATACCAGTTATCTTGCCTCAAGTGGTTTATCACGAATCGCGAATACTTGCCAACCTCAGCTTCACTCCTATTCGTGAAAGACGCACTATTCCCACTGTTCATCTGCTGGCAAGAAACCTCAGATAGATCTTGGTTGACCTGTAGATAATCGCTCTTGTTCATGACAACAGTGGTCTTGCGCCTATCCACCTTTACAAACCAAGTTTCGCAAAAGCGGTCGCCAACGGCAACTGAAACGTCAGATTACAACAACCTATTCCGGTACTCAGTGTTTTGACTTTATAAGTGAAAAAACTTCACTTTTCGGTTTCAACTACTAATCTTCCCAATTCGTTCACACCCTAACTTTACTTGCACAAGATATTCGACAGTCAGCACTTTGGTTACCCCATGTTTGAAGTGAATAGTGTTGGGTATATCATTCAGACCACAAGTTTTTATCTGTCTCCGTTTGACGCTGTGCTCTCAAGTTTCGAAAACATCCTTCAATATAGATCTTGGCTGAATTTACCGATTGATCGATTCTGACATGGTATGCATAATGCAAATGAAGCGGTAATCTCGCAAGCTCACACTGATATGCCACGTATGAGCGAATCACCAGATTAACTCCTCCTGCTCCTTGTTCACATGTTTTTGTTGCGTATTCAGGGTTGCCACCGTAATCTCGTGCATCGAAAGTTGTTTCACAATACGTCCCGTTTTTTAATAAAGTTTAGTTAGCTAGTTTATTAGACCGGGTATCACTTCAACCCAAAAAGGGAGACGAATTCCTATTTCGTACGAACGTAATTTTCTCGTACGGTCGGAAAACCTCTTTTATATGTGGCGTTCTTTAAGGGAATCAACAACATTGCACATCTACAGTTCGTCCGGTTAGTAGTAGTTTGAGCATTTCCATTGTCCGGCTGAAATTCGCAAATCTGTCCGCACTCGATAAAAAAGGCATCACATATGCGCAGAGCAAAATAGTCCAGTTGAATGACTGACCGACCTCACTAATGACGTCTAAATTGAGATATTGGAAAATCTAATAAACCAGAGGACTAGTTAAGTTTTTCATCACACTGCTGCGATCGGTGAGAACACACAAACTTTGACCAACAGAAGATAGATACTATTCGAAACCTAATTCAGAATCTTCAAGTACCAAGAAAATGCAGCGGACAGACAAGCCAGAACAGAATCCCAGAAGACAGTTCCTCATGTCAGCTATAGTTAAGCTGTATTTTGGCATTTCACATTAAAGTCTCTCTAATTATTCTTTAGGAGTTTGTAGACGTCAGTTTTCTGACACTAATCCTGTGTCAGGAGCACTTACAAGCTCAATTTCGGTGAGACAAAATATTCAAGACATCGCGAACTTGCCACCGTAGCGTATTCTACTGGTACACCATCCGGCTGAGATCGGAGATTGGCTAGTCCATAGCTTTCCGCAAAGGAAAAGAAAGCCGTTGGAAATGAGGTGATCCGTGTGAGTTGGTAAACGTAGTATGTGACTGTATCTAACGCGTTATTCGTCTCCTCCATTGAAGCACACACCCAGAGCGAGGAGGCGAAATCAAAACTCGTGTCAAAATCACTCACTATTATACAAAGTCGCCAATAAGACTGCTTCAGTTGATGGACTGAGGTGGATCAGTTCCCACAGGATTGCCCTTCTTGAGCTTATCCGGAGGCGTCAACCCCGAGATTCCCTCAACCTTACGTTCTACTTGAAAAAGGATATCACAAACGGAGAATTTAGCTAGGTTACAAGTGAGTCTTCCACAAAAAGCAATTTGGTGTACGAGTGAGAACATTTGTCAAATTTGATGCCATTCTGGGTTCAAGTAGAAACTCGGGGGCTGCACCCACCTGATTGGCCCCAAGAATGGCAAAACAGGCCATCGGCTGTCAAAAAGTTTTCAGCAAACTTTTGAGTAGTATATTAACTCTATTCAAGTTATTTTATGCTCCCGAACATAGTACCAAATGAAAAATGAGGCGGCTTGGTGCATCACATTCAGTTAAAGAGAAACATCATAAAAAAGACATTTGGCTTTCAGGTGCCTCTTCCATGGGAAATAATTGGGCAATCAGATGAGTAATTTCGTCGAAAAAGCATCAGCTGTTTTCTACGGAGTATTCGAATGCAGACAATGAGTACAACCGGTTAGTTTGAGGAGTGCAAGAGGACAACTCAGTAGTGCAAACACTCCAGAGGCGCAAAGCATAGTCAGGTCACAAAATGTGACAGAGTTTACGTGAAACGTGCCAGAACAATCTTTTCTGCTAATTCACACAAAGAAGCCAAGAAAATCCAAGGCCCACAAACCTGTACGCAGTCCAAGGCTCAAACCTGTGCCATGCCCCAATCACGTGTCTCTTGATTGAAATGGTGACACTGGAATCGATCTGAGTGAAAACAGATTGCGAGTCGTTTGATAGTTCCAGAACTCGATTAGATAAGTGCTGTTTTACCCGCACTTCGAGTTGTCTGTCAGTTCCACCAATATGTGCTTCAACGCAACTGCAGGTGAGTTCATATAAGCAATAATTCATTGACAAAGCTGAGTGTGGTGTTGTGATAGGCGCAATCGCAGGAACGCCGTGCAAGCTACCACTTGTGGCCGGACAACGTGGTTTCGGGATGTTTTATGAAACAAGTAGAGCTCAATATGTTGAGACAAGTCTGTAATGTGAAGATACTCTCGTTTATATGTACTTCTGATACACTGAATAGAGCATCTAGCAGTTGGAATTTCTTACAATTTAATACCTAGGAACAGCAGTTACCGGTCCTGTAATCAATTATTTTCTCGAAAGTTTTACAACCCAACCGTCTGTGGATTATACCAGCTAATTTCCATAGACCAGCTTTCTTATACTGATACCGAGTCCATCGACGTGCCTTTACTGTTTGTGCGCTTACTAGACAATCTGTCTCTTGTCCCATTGAACTGGCAAGCAACTCCAGCACTCACAAACAATGTATCCTATAATATATGACAATGGTTAAGCAGCATTGAGTTCGTTTGCGACATCCCTTCAGATTTAGGAAGGCGTATGATAAATTGGTTGATTGCTTATGGTAACCAGTGCGTTGGACTGTTCTGACTTGAAACTTACCATATCATACTTTATCGTCTACTCAGATTCGACTCGAGCTTGGTCCGGAACTTTCATGAACTTTACCATCTAAAACTATTGATTTTTATATAGTTTACACAAGATTTACGGACCGAAAGTACCAATGTAGGTCATGAGTGATCCACGTTATCGTAAGCTGGTTGGTCAGCATTTTCAAACCTAAAAGCCCCGAGGTGATGGAGTAGTGTTTAAAGAAAACCTACAAATGTACGCTACGTGAAAGTTTCTTGAAAACCTTTCAAAAGCCTGTGACCGGTTTCGTTCTTCTTGGTGCTCATCAAATAGGTGCAGTCCCCGTACTTCCGTCAACTTTATGTTCTGCTTGAACCTTCAGGAAAACATAATGTGATATCTAGCGTCAAATGAAACATGAAGCAACCTTTCTATAACACATTCTGCTGAAGAATAGGATGGACGGGTATTTCAGCTAAGGTGAACTGAGTCACCCGTTGAATCGAAATCGATGTGCGAATGAGTGTATTTTGCGAATACTTTCGAACTTATGCCACACCAGGAGAAAATCAATGTTTCAAATTTCGGCACTACTTACGAACGTTCCTGTAACTGAAACTGTTAACCTTTTGTGGACATTCCATTTACTTCACTACCTACCCTGATTTTTAGAAATATCATCTCTGTATACACAATTTTTTTCCCAGCATAAATGGTCGCCATGGGAAGTCCCTGTTGAACGAAACTGGATGATATCTTCATAGTCTATTCGAAACCATTTGCGAAGACAACTTATATGACTGCTTCCCATTTTTGCTACGCCCTTCACCAGGACATTCGCTTTAAGAACAAGTATGAACAGAATATCCAGTTACTGTTGAGAAAAAACTAATTTATAGGAAATCTTACATCTGAAAGTCCTGTTCGATTAATCGAAAGCACACGCAAACGGGACTGTATCTTTACATGTCAAATTAGCAACAACTACCCTTGATATATGAACTCACCTGCCGTTGCATCATCATCATCGTCATCATCATCATCGTCATCATCATCATCATCGTCATCATTGTCATCTGTGATAACCGCCTACTCGTCGTACAGTGGTTGTAGCTGACGCATTTTCTTTCACCTACGATTCGGGGAGGTTGAGTAGGTGGCTGCGCATTGCAGGCGAGAGATGATAAATTTGTGCATACATCTGGCACTGTCAGTGGGCTGTCAAGTGGGGGAACTTGGAAGGGAGCTATGCATTGAAGGCAATAGCTTGGATGCACGAGCGCCATTGAAGGCGCGACTGGGCCATGTCTGACAATGTCTCCAAACATTCATGTGGACCGTCTTGGGGTCCCCATCCAGGAAGACGGCAATGACCAGCACAGCTGAGTTAGCTGGTAATGGCTTTCACACTTCGCTGTCAAGTCACTGTTTGACCGCCTTTGGCTCTCTTCTACCATGCACGTGGTTTTGCGAAAAGAGCCCTTCGAGGAAATCGGTCGACTGGCATACGCAGCACGTGGCCAGGCAAGCGTAACCTATGCAGTATGATCAGATCATCTATCGAGGGTGAGTTATTTATCCCGAGTACCACTCGACGTACTTCTGTATTGCTGCTCCGGTGTCCCAACCAGATTCAGGCAATGCTCCGAAGACATCGTTGGTCAGACACTGGAAGACTTTTGACGTCCTCAGCGCGCAGCGGCAAGGTTTCTAGTCCATATAGTTATGTGGAGCGCACCGCAGCATTGTAAACTCGACCCTTGACAGAGAAGCAACTACCTGCAGTTGCGATGAAGCACACACTAGTGGAACTGACAGGCAATTCGACGTGCAGGTAAACCAACACTTGTCTAATCGAGTTCTGGAACTATCAAACGACTCGCATTCTGTTTTAACCGAAATCAACTCCAGTGTCACACTTTCAATCACGAGGCACGTGACTGGTTTTACAAGTTTTTGTTTTCTTAAGTTTACCCTTCAATTTCATACCATCTCACGTTAGCTGTGAGCATCTGTTCTGATTTTCGGAATTTTTGGTGCAGCACACTCATTGTATCTGCTAAACTGTTTACAGGATAGTTGCGAACCGTTCAGCATACAACGCGTTGCGTACTGAATCCAGGTGAGCTGCCGAAATTCCGTATTCTCGTTAACCACGTGCTAAGTTGTGATCGAGATGCCTACAAGATCTTAAGGGAGGCGTGTTGAAGCCGTTCCTGTTCGGATACCGCGTTTCCGTACAGGATACATACGTTACACAGTTAAAATCAGTGATTCCATATAAACAGTATACGAACTCGGATGGCCCCTGTTGTAATCATTAGGAGAAAGATGGTTCATGGTGAGGAAAATTCACATCATTTGGAACAGGTGAATAGTTGAATAAGTGTTATTATTTCGAAGAGTCTAATCGGTAAGCTCAAGTCTTCATCGAATTTTATGGTAGGTGCGATGAGTAGGAATTTTTTGGCTTGAAATCTGGGATCCATGAATTCTCAGCCATGAGAATCTTTTCAACCCTATCAAATGGACTCGGATGGGTCTGAGCAGCAATTGCTTGGGTAAATAACTTGAGGACTAACTGACCATGAGTGGTAAGTTTGAGTCAGATGACATGATGGGTGCACGCTGATGATAACGCACTTTACCTGATACTTGGATGAAATTACACACCCGAATTCACCATACGTATGGTAATCTCATGGCTCTCACGTCAAAAACAACCAATTGCTAGTTCGATCAAAACGAGACAGTTAAGTTCGTAGTCACATGGTGACCCACCGAGAAGAGATGACCGAATGCGGCTTGATTTTGAGGGCCAGATCATATTGTTCTCATCCAGGATAGGTCTTTAGTAGATTGCGCTCACAATGCAATGCCTTCCCGTTGTTCTTCTATCTAGATTTACTGCTCGTTGGCTGTTGCCCAACAGGGAGCGTGTGTTTCACTGCATACAGCTTGCGAGTTATGTGATAGCTTTTCGAATAACTACCGTCACATAGATTGGATGGCTTATGTGCCTCTGTGGCCCACTCAGCTATACTGGGGGAAGGAATGTCTGTGTGAAACCCGCAGGGTCTCTCATATCAAGCAGGTCAGTGGTTAGAGGTCCGACGAAAACAGTCTCCTGACCCTCAGGGTTGGGGTTTCGAACACGCATGGCCGTTTTTGCTTTAAAAATCATAATGCACTTGGAATTCCCGCCAGGCGTTGATGGTGATGATGATGACAGGGATATTCCGTTCATCTTATGTTCACATGAAAATGGCATACAGACATTCATGTATGTGTATATCTGTCAGCCACTAAGTCATTAGACACCGAAAATGGCCTCAGCCGGATCCATAGGGTTACTGATGACCTAAAAATGTCGAGATTTTGGGACGGTTTGGTCAGTTTAACGTGTGAATCTCATGTAGAACCCCCGGATAAACATTATTCTTGACGGACACTAGCTTCGTTTTTTGCTTCCTGTATTTAGCTTATGTCTACCAATGGTACCGAGTCAGTCCCCTTCAAATTGGACCATGTTGATCTACGGTCTAATATGCAGTTATTTTGTCCGAAACAAGTCTCCTACAGAGTACGTCCAGCATATTTAATTGAGGTAGTCTGACCAGTTCTCCGCGGGGCTCAACCATGTACGTATACCTCCGCCGACTTGACTACCCTGGTAAAAGTGAATGCTTACCGAAGGAGAAGGACCATATGTTTCCATTCGGAACAAAGGTGCTCTGAGTCCCGGATAGGAACATTTTAAACCAGTCATTGTGGGTGTTTTCCTCTGTTCACTTCATCAGATCATCCCTTGATAAATCCTCAAGTTCAGCATATCAAAGCCATAAACTGTGGTGGATATAACTCTAACCATAACCTCATTCGGCTTCACAAACGCCTAACTAGTCCGTGTGGGGGATCAAGTTAGCGATCGGTTTAGGTCATGCCTGAGAAGACGAATGAAATTAATAATGCTCGTGAGTGAAGTTCACATACATCGGTTGTTGTAATTTCGTTTGATGAGACTACAACATAAACAGAAGGACTGGTGACAGTTCAAACCGAAATAACCTCAGTTAAGTAGCATAACAAGGGAAGCGAATGTGAGACATAAAGGCACCTAAAACGTACAGTCCGTTTCCATTGGTATGGATGATCCTCAAGTATCTGATGAGGAAGCGGTACTGAGCAATGGAAAGTGGGATATTTCTGAGACAGACATATTTTCTCTGAATTGAGATGCACCTAAACCGTAGAACTCCCGAAGATGCAACTCTGAGAGCGGTTTTAATTTGCAACAACTTTCCAGCACTCGTCGACGTACCTTTTACTCGCGTGCAGTTTGATGCTGATCAACACAATCCATATTTTTCAGGTTACCACTCATCTAATGGATCCAAGTGACAGTATTCCCACTGTCGGATGTGTCAGAAGCTGACCTCATCCCGCAGTGAGTGCACACGAACGTGCGCTACTTGCACCTGTGACATTCTGACATATATATAAGGTGAATAGACACACTGAAACGTTCTGTATATCAGAACAAGAAGCATAAACAAGGATTCAGTATAGAAAAATTCGTCTGGGTCTCGGAATTTCATAAGATATATTTGACTTTTGTGTTAAAACGACGCGTACTGAAAGAAATAAGAAATTAGGGAAAATGGTGGCGCTATTCAATCCTTTTGAAGATTGCTTACGCGTGTTGAGAATTTCCGCCCGAACATGCGCCCAATTCCTCATCGTTTGTGCTCTCTTCTCCGGTGACCGATTCCTCATCACTTTCCGTACAGTCTGCCTGCTTCACTCCGTATTCCTCCATCTCTTGTTTCGATATCTTAGGTTTTCTCTTCAAATCGATGAACTTGACGTTTGTCAGCATGCCGTTTAGGTATTGTACAATATTCGGATGCGGTAAATGGATCTTGTGACCCAAATCAGAACGCTTTAACAGTTGGGAAGGTTTTTCAGCACGAATTTTCTCCAGTGGTTGAATGTAGGTTTGCACGTAACTGGGAGTTCCCCGAGGATCGTGTGTGCCAGGCTTGGAAGGACCTTGCCAGAAACGTCTTTGTGCGTCGCTAATATCATTTTGATTGAGACTCAGTTCTTCTTTGAGCCATGAAGAGAGTTCCGGTCCAAAGTAATCGTCAAACACTAGGGGGATCTTATCCTTCTTTACTAGTTTGACCTTCTTCGCTGTGTTGGGGTCCACAAACACACGTATTGCTTTCCAAATGCCATGTAGTGCGGGATTGTGGTGAACGAGAAAGAAGCGGTACAAATGCTCTGGGTAGTTATTTCCGAATGTCTGACTGAACTGCTTGCCGAGTTTCGGATTACAACACGGTAGAGTGAGACCTGGAATGCAGAGAATTGACGGTTGTGAGAGATGTGGTGGTTTCAATGCTCTTCATGATTAGTTAATCAGTCATGGAAATCGAATAACTAAAATGGCTTTGCCAGTATAAGTGGCATTTTGAATTTGTAGGTTGGAAATTTGGCTTCCCTGTGTCTTGTAGCCAAGATGTTTTATTCAGATGTTTTACTCTTTTTAGGATCCATCAAATGCATGCATATCCATAATCTGTCAGATTAATAAAAAAAAGTTGCACGGGTGCGTCGCATTGGTTAAGATCACAAACGCGCATCTAAATTGTCGCCTTGGTTGATGATGAAGCATTCGTAACCTAAATGTCCAACTTAGTGAACAAACCAGTCGAAGTCTGTCTTCGAGTCACCGAAGGCTTCATTATTCGATCTTCTGCAGGATGGTATTCCACTACTCCCGCTTAAACACACACTGTATGGACTTGAGCTGACTAGTCCCTTATTTGGTGACGTCGGTTAAGAAGGCTGTTGTAATGAGCATGGGGCTCGCGTGATTTCTAAGGTAAGAGTAGTTAGTTTTCTGCCGTGGCTAATTAGACTAATGTATCTGTGTGTGGGTGGATGCCTCCTGTTGTTATGGGCCCCAGTTTTCTTAATGCCTTCCTAATAGCCTGATTGGCTCAGCCAAACCAGAAAGCCAATGAACGTGCAAATCAGCTGACCTATTGAACGCTGACACGCACAGGCATGTCATGGGCAGACGAAAACGGGCTACTAATAAAGCTCACGTGAAAAGTTTTAGGTTGACCGAAAATGACACTGAAAATAGAACTCATCTGTCGAGAACAATGGAAGAACAACCAATTAAATCTGTCCCAACGAAAACGGTTATTCCATTGGAAGTCGTATAGTCTAGTTACATCCAGACCTGGTTCTCCTAACACTCTTCCTGTTCTTCCAGGTTTCTACTCATACGGAGCTTTCAGAAAAACAAATTACTGATGAAAAATTTCCTCCGGCCTACATTCAACAAAGAATAAGCGATTCAGAATAGGCACCTTGAGTGGTCGCCAAACTAGGAGTATGGAATGCATGTAGTGTCAGTGAATCACTGATGCTTCTATGTGGTCAGTCCTTTGATTGCTAGAAGCATGACTCCTACTAGCATGAGGCAAGAGAGGATAACGGTTTATGTCTGACTAAGTGGTCATGATGAGCTACACAAATTCCCTACTTAAGGTGAAACCTCCGGTATCGTAACCCGATTTGTATTTAACTGAATGGCTGACACTCAATTCGGATTTGTCGATCAACATGTGTCACAAAGCTGAAATCCCGTGCACAATAGGTGGTCAAAGGAATGTTGACAACATCCCAGCCCAGCTTTATAAGTTTTCTTAACTGATCCAAGTCATAGTTCGTTTAAAATAAAAAAAAGTTATCTTAATGATGCAATAATAATTTGCGGACAAAAAAATCCACTGGCCAACGAACCACACTTCCGTCCAGGGTTATGTTAACACAAGAGCATCCGTCTGCATCAACTGATTATCGCGTTTGATGGAGATATCGTTTCACATCCATTCACCATAGTTGGTTGTAACTTTTGAAAACTTCGTTCAATCTTGTTGTCACATCGCTTCAAATGACCTCAACAGAAAAATCAATGCAGCTTACGTTTGAACATCCGGGTGGCCAGTTTTGATGACCCTCCGCGACTTATTCGTCCATAACTAAATTTTTGACTGGGATATTGGCATAAACTGCCTGAGAACTGTGCCTGTTGAGACGGAACACACAATGCAGCTAGTGCTTGTATGATCAGGCTATAACGGACGTTAACAAGATCCCTTGGCTGTCACGTTAACCGATAAGAAAAACGATCCAGCCTTATCCTTTCTTGAGTGCGGTAAAGCTTGAAGTGACGTGGATTGTACCTAGTCTTACACTAAGGGTTGCAAAATTTGCCGTTCAAATGAATAAAGACCAGAAAAATCTGCTTTATACACTGAAAAGTCGTAGATGGAAATGCGTGGCCTGTTTATCTTCTGCGTCATCTGCACTATCGGTGCGTCTTTATCGCACCACGAGTGCTCGGTCGTATCTTTCCGTGGTATGTCGTACACCAGCGTCGATCGCATCGAACCGACGGACAGCCTCATTTGCATCAAGACTTCACTCCCCATACATCATCACGTCTGCACTCGTTGGTATAGTGCCAGACAAATCAGCTCAGATGCTGTCAGACGCTACTGTCATCAGAAAAGTTATCTACTGTCAGCGGGTCACGCACACGTTGGTAAGTTAGGTCTCGTCGTCCCCCACCAGCCTAGTGAGTGAGGGTGAGCAGTGCCTGGGTCTGAAGCTCCGTCAGGCAATCCAGAAACAATGTGATATCGGATGGTCACAATTCAGAAGCCTCACGACAGCCGCCTTGTTTCAGTTAGATCGCCTCGGACATGGACACTTGAGAATACCGGCACAACACCGCACTGCCATGCTCCCTTCAAAATGGCTTGTCAGTGGGTAGTTCATCGACTGTCTGGTTATTTGGAAGCGGCCACGGTGCGTCGTTTGGGTTGGATGCATCACAGAAAAGACGGAAGCTTTCCTGACCAAAGGTGACTTGAAGACTGCGACCTTCTCGCCCTCCTGATTTCAGAAGTTCTCCAGCAATAACACAATTTTTCGTACCATTTTCCAGTTCTATTTGTTCTCTTTGTTCGAGTGATCGACAAATATCTGCAGGCATGGCAACGTGGTCATGAATTAAAGCGCTAGTAAGTGCCAAGCCAACGATCATGTGACTTGCTTCTACGTCTGTCTGAAGGACAACTGGCCTTCGGTGGTCAGCTATTGAGACTCGATACTGTTCATACTAGAACTACCCGGTGAAGCTCTACATCAAAGGTTTATTATTGATCGAATTCCAACGAAATCGTGCTTGGTAACATAAACAACCCATAAACTTTCTCCGAGAGACAAACTGTGTAAAACAAACCAACCCGTCCCCAACGGCTTGATACTCTGACTTTATCAACGAGTAATGGGAAGCTTCTAGGATACAAGTCTGACTGGAGAAAATAAAATTCCCCACCAGAAAGTATACGAACTGTACGTTTGCGAATCAATAGCTCGCAAACATTAAGGTCATGCGCATCTCTGAATTTGCTTTTCTGACAACCACCAAGTGAGTGCAAACAAAACAGTGAAAAAATTTCAGTGAACTTCCCATTGTACACCTGGTCATCTATTAACGAGACACCTGGCTAGCGCATCACAACAGAATTCCACTCTTGCACCGAAGCGATCATTTCCTGAACACAATTTCAGTTTGACCAATAAAATTTTTATTTAGTTGTCGCTTATCAGGCTAACTCTTATCTAGGTTAGTCAGCTAGTTAGAGAAAACTTCAAAAAACTGGTAGAAATTGTGTGCTCATCATTCAGAATTTAACACAACCGACGTGAAAGTGGGGCAATTTGGCAGAAATTCACACATTTTGGTTTGACGATTCGGATAAATTTCCAGTTTCTGAGAAACTCGGATACCGAAGATCGTAAGCACCGTGGCAATATCGCATGTAATGGGGGTGGGGACAACAGGGTGGTATCAGATTTGGAAAAAAAGTTGATCTCGATTCCTGAAAATAGCTAAGTACGTCGGATCTGCACCTATATACACGTGAGCAAATAGTTCACCAGATTCGATCAGCGCACACATTTTGTGACTGAAACCCGATCGAGGTTTCCATTCCATTTCCATTCCATGTGGGTTTTCATTAGTTATTGGAGAAGTCTGGTGATAAATCAAAAGTGGTCTGCTTCTCTCCTGAGTAGGACTACTTTCAGGTTGACAATTCGATCGTTCTTGCAAGGTGTCTGAGCAGAATGAAGATAAATGGTTGACTGTGGCCGGATGCAGGCGCAACATTTACAAACAACGTTTGGTGTTTATACTACTTCTATCCGTAAAAGTAGTATATATAAATAGCGTATCGAGACTGCGAGGGTTTTGAGATCGTTTGGTTTTTCGCTCCAACACCGTACAGAAGCAAAGCATAAGCTGTTATTGAATGCTAATGGTCAGTTGTCATCTGATCAAGGTTAGGCAATGAATCATGGATGAACGTGCCGTTACATGTTATGTACTGGTTAACTTGACAGTCATCCTCCAGTCCCTAAAATCGTATTGGTGAACGGAAAAACACCTCTGAGCGCGCAATCTTTTACCGATGAATGCGGAGCAAAGGGTTAAAAAACAAAAACTGCATTCTAACAGGGGCTTTGAAAATACAGCACCCCCAATGTCCTGCTGAGCTTTCCTGTGCACGTTTGAATTTTCAACAGTAGTGAAAACAAGCTGTGAAACGGTTCAATATTTTCCAAATCAACCCTTCATTAGATGTAGAGTTGGTGTTTTAAACCTGTTTAGCCGGACACTGCAGACATGTTCTATCGGCATATTAATGCCAAACCTCAAAAGTTAACGTAAAATGGATTCTCCCGGATGTTCCCGGCTATCCCATACCAGCACATTAGACGTCCCACTCACCAGTGCAATCAATCACGATAACCCACTGGTTATTCTTTGCCACCGGACACCGCAACGCATTCTCCACCAAGTACACAACGTGTGCGATGGTATCTTCAGCGGTGTTTTTCAGCGTCTGGCACTGAGCAAAACAGGCGTAGAGAACCGGTCTCCCTTCTGGATCGAACCCAACTTGTCGCTAAAATGTTAGGAAACAAGCAGGAGTTAAGGGAAGTTTCACGTGAGAGGAACCAGCTACAGGCGCGACAGCTCACGTGAGAGATGGATAAACATATATATACTATAGACTGGGAAAGAACACGCAAGTGGGAAACTGAATGACTGGTGAGTTCCTCGTTAGTTTTCTTTCGAATCGAGATCCTACTGCATAGCACCACCTACTACTGCATACACTCATTTGCAAACTGATTTCTTTTTTTCGAGAGACTCATCCGGAACCCAGCTGAATCTCTCGGTTTTGATGCTTCCAGGCAACTGAATGTGCTGTACCAGGCCGCCTCATGTTTCATTCGTTACGATATTCGAGATATCGCGGTACATACAATTTTCGTAATGCACTATTCATAAGGTTGCCTGGAAACACCAAAACCGAGAGATTCAGCTGAGCTGCAGGTGAGTCTCTCTAAAAACCTAATTAGTTTGTGGATGAGTGTGTATACGCTAATTTCGTGGAATTTGGGTTCAAGTATAGTATAAGGTTAACGGAAACTCGGGGACTGCGCCTACCTGATGAGCTCCAAGAAGGGCGAAACCGGTCTTGAGCTGTCGAGGAGTTTTCAGCAACCTTATGAGTAGTGCACCACCTAGTAATATTTTATGCACATGCTTCTGTACAGGGGCTATAAATAGAAATGCGATTTCATTGCATGATTAGTTGCTGAATCTGTGGACCTGCCGCCTTACTCGATAGGAGCTTCACGCGTACGAATGGTAAAAGTGGTGCCACAAAGACAGAGTTGGTTAAAACTCAAACCCCATTCTCGCAAACTAGACAGTCTATGCGGTGGATAAGCCTTCTTACTTAGAAATTCGTACAAGTGGCTGGGGAAGAGATAACTTATCGAAACGGGGAAACCATCGAAGCTTTTACCAACATTCTACACCCATGATGTAGCCTCATGTCAGTCTATTTGTAAACTGCGAGGGTACAATCCATACTGGTCCCAAACATACACTCTCGGCACAGGTGTACGGAAACTCGCAGATTTTAACCGCTCGTGTCTTCAAGCCGTTTGCTGCAAAATTTTTGACAGCATCAGGTCAAAATTGTTGAGGCTGGCAGGACGGTTTTGGGAAGAAGCCCTCTCTTGATAGATGAAGTGCTCGCGCTTGATAGGTTGAATGGGTCAACAAAAGTACTGCGTATCGCCGAAGAGTGACAGTTTGTTTCGCCATGTCATGTGATATGTGGAAATGACTGTCTAGGACCTTGAAACGAAGTAGGAAAGGACCAGTGGGTAAACCCACACAACTTCCACCCCAGGACTCAACCCACCAGTGATTAGTTTTACTGACAGACACGACCCGACCATAAAGACCGTGGCACTCCTTCATCAAAGCCGTTGCCGTCAAGGCGCAGCTGCCTAGTTTCCAGTTTCCTTAGACAAACAGAATGACACAACATTATCCAAGTGAATATGCCATCGGCTCCAATACCTGGCTACATCTTTCCTGTTCTCTCAATTGTTTTCTCAATCTTGGATGCTCTGCACCTGAATCGGCAGCAGGCAGCTTTACTAGCAGAAGAATTTGGATGCCCACTGATCTGAAAAAATGTTTACGGAAGATTCAGAAATGTACCGAAAACGTGACAGCTCCGGTAGGTTTACTGGCTGCTTGCTGATTTACCCGACGTAAGACTCAAGCTCCTTCCTGCTTTGAATTGTTTTTAAACCGCCGCCCGGCCGCGGTTNCGTAAGACTCAAGCTCATTCCTGCTTTGAATTGTCTTTAAACCGCAGCCCGGCTGCGTTTGACACCAACCAACAGAAGGCTTGTTTCGCATTAGCATGAACCTAGGCTGTTTGCGTTTCGTATGGTTTACGAGTTATTCTGAAACTGCGATGACCCTTACATTGGCAGGGCAGACATACCCTAACGTGTCACCCAGAAGCTATCAGAACACCGTCGGATCAGTGGTCAAGTCATAATCCCAACACATCATTAGCCAGACTATTAGGTTCCAAATCTTTTTGGGTAAAACAAACACTAAGGTTTTGTACATAAACGGAATGCTATTGGTCGAACCGAGCCAGCCCATAAAATGTGCACAAAAAGCAAAAGCTATTTGGTTGTCCTTCATTGTTTAAGGATGACCTGTGGAAATCAGTAGTTGCCCAGGCTTGTTCCTACTCTTCATTCACGTTCTACGTCCTTGACTGGAGGGTAAAATTAATATCAACGAATCGCTGCACATAACATTCAAAATTCTTAATAAAACAGTTTGTATGATTCCAACCTTTGCTCAGAAGTGATCTAAAATGAGTGTCAGTCAGTAAGATGAGTTCGACAATCACAGGGTTATCGCTTTTCACCGCGATACATGAGATTCAATCATGAAGACAAACACGGCCATTGTGTGAGACCAGTTCGTCGGTGGAGAGCAGAGTCACCAACCTTACTGTGCAAAATGCTGTTTCTGGGCTTATCGATGCTTTCGAAGCGTACACTTGAACACGGAGTTGTGGGTGGTGGATGGCTCTGTTTGTTTTTCGGTGGTAAACGTGATGGTTCGTCAATGAAGGATCGATGAGGACTGAGCGGGTACGCTGCCGAACTTGTTGTCAGATATCCTTCCTGACCTAAAGAAAGCCCATGTAAAGCAGGATACGAGAACATAGCAACAAAACGGAGGCAACCAAGACGTCGGTTTCTACCTTAATAGATGGGTTATCTACCATCTCAAATAAGCAATGCTTCTCCCCTTGGCTTATTCTGACATTACTCGCAGGTCCTCATGCGACTGGCTAGCAAAAAGCAGTCCTTTTAAGTGCTTGCGGTTTAATTTAACCTTAACATCCTTACTGAGATTCCAAGTCGATAAAAACGGTTGTTCTGGCGACGCCATTCCATCCCAGTGCTTTTGCTTGCGAGAAGTCGATCGGAGCAGCAAACTGTCAATTCTTTCTTGATTCCTTGGGAGACATGCACGGATCCTCTAAACCCATACAACAGCGCTGATCACTAATTTGTGAAGAACTAACAAATGCTCGTTTGTAAGCAACGTAGAATGAGTAACGCAGCTCACTTTTTTTTTATAACCACACAAGGTTTGATGTTGCCCTGTCCTGCAAAAGTCACAAATCTGGTGTGGAATTTGTCGAGCACGTGCTGAGTAACCTGATCACCGATTGCGCAATATGCCGTGCTTTTTTGGATCTCTTACTCATTTGTATGATTGTGTATGTTGTGATAATCTTTTGGAGAATTTTATTGCAAGAGTGGTGGTTGTGGTGATGTTCAGTTCACAGGCGTGCTACCGATTGAACGGATCACCCAATCAGTCATTCTGGCACGTGACAGAGAGCAACGGCTCTTCTGCACACTTGAAGACGATATCTACAGCACATTTTGACGGTTCAATAGTTTCTGACACTTCAGCTGTCCAACTTCAGCTTCAACTATTTCATCACGATTCTTTATATGTTCACTTGACGCCTGGCTGTGATTAGTTGAGGCAATATGTTTACTGGTCTGTTATGCTGATAGCATTATTGCTGGTCGTGGACTCACATTTTTCGCAGGGGCCTCATTTTGCCCCACTTCCTGGATATCATTCGGGAAGCTTCTTCACCTACATGCGTTTATCTGTAGTGACATTTCCAACCAACAAATGGTCACGGACTACTTATGACAAAAAATGACTCAATTGAACTGCTGAGCGTCAGTTAAAAAAACGCTGATGGCTGTGATTGATATCTACGGCCAATCACAGTTCACGGAAATCACAGATTAGATTCACATCTGCCGGTTTTGGGATGCCAGTAGCCAGTGTTTCAGGTACATACTTAGACTGACCTGCGAGAGTTCACGACAGTTATCAACAAAAATCTCAAAAAGTTTGATCATAAGGCCTAGATGATTTCTTCAAACCACTCTGACAAATCAGGTTTCAGTGAATATCATTTATTCATTGACTGAAAGGCATTTTCCACTTCCCGACTGTTACCGCTACATTCAAAACTAAAAGTTTCTCAGTGTAAGAGAAATAATACACAAACTGTGAGATATGGTACATCATATTCAGGAAAAGGACAAAGAAGAATGATGTAGAGAGTTGTGAAACTACTCTGCAGTTCCAATGATTTTTACAATTCAAAATTGGTTAGGTTTGTCTGAGGAACGTTTGGGATGAAACTGGCACCAAAATACTCTGATTTTCAACAGATAATTTGGCTTTGTGGAGGAGACTTACTAAATTCGTCTCCCCATTTAATTACGTTCAGTAAGATGCGGCAGGTTTCCTCAATCGGTTTCGTGTTTATACTGTTAGAAGCCAAGAAAAACCTAAAAATTTGGGAAGTTTAGTGAGTTAAGTGTTCAGATATCAAACCCCTAACCTCCTTTTCAAGGAAACACGCTACCGGAAAGTCGGTGTTTGCGGGCTACATTGCGTCCAACTGGTTCCACAGGGTAAAATGGCTGCACAAGCCATCACAAACTTAGCCGCCTGGTAGCGCCGGTTGTATGCTTGTTTCAAATTCCAAGATTTATCAAATATTCGACATGAGAACAGATATCACGGACTTTATTCTTTGATTGATCATCTGGTCCTCATCATCGCAAACCTTGTGACAAAGGTTAACATCGTATAAGACAGAATATGCAGACACGGATCACAATATGTAGGGAAGTTTGTTGATAACATGAATATGTTTTGAGCTCCTCATTTAATCTAGATTTCTTTCCTTGCACGAAGTTAACCTATGCCGAAGGGTCAAGAAGCAAGAGGTTTTTCTCAGCTGTTTGGCACAGACCCAGTGATTTACAGGAGAAGGTCTTGATGGAAAGCGAGAGAGAGTTCAATGAACAAGTGCTCGGGCGGTATGCTTACTCCTGATCACCTATGTCGGGTACGACGAAATGTATAGAAACGAAATGAGGTTGGACTCTGTTGATCTTCCTTGTGAGGGAGAAACGATTGCCAAAGTGATTTCTAGAAGCTTTTTGTGGGTTTCCGTTCTACATGACCTCACCGATCATCATATACTGGCCATAAAAAGAGCCGTTTGCCTGAAATCTTGAGCAAATATTGCCCGTCTTCTCCAAGGAATCGTGAGCAAAACGGCGAAGTCCTTCTGTTTGCACAGTTTTGTTCCCCATTGTCTGATGGCAACTGTAACAGCTTACATGCGATGTGGAAGGCAATGACTTTATGGACACAATGCTCAGCTTTAAGTAACTTTTATACCGTCAGTGAAGTTAAAGTGACTTTGACTTTGGACGTTATGTGGTTCAATGAGTTGGATGTTGCTGAATTCTGCGCAAGATCTTTGGCCTGCGTCTCCCTGATGGACATCAGCTATGACGAGACCAATCTTGGTCCACCCCCTGGGTTGGGCCCTTGCTTTTGTTCTGTTTTATTTATCTATGTGATATTTGCAAGCAGTATACACCCAAACAGATACAGCGAAATACACTGGGACTGTCGTACTGTCCTCAAGAAGAAAATGCAGTGCCTTATGTCTTTGTCATTATCATCTCTGGACTCTACGTCCTTTCCAAAGTTGATAAACTAACCGTCAAATGTGGTCTTTTATGTAGAAATCGTATTCCTTCAACTCTGTATTTAGAGAACCTTCTTTTGGAGGTGTCTTCAAAGCGAGGTCTTTTGCTACCCTCAAACTACTTCAGTAGGACTCACCTCACCGCACTGTTTGGTTGAATCGGTTCATTCACAATCCTGTCTATCAGCAAGTCGCCCTCATGCATACTGCTTGGCCGCAATGCCATTCGTAAACAGATCATTGTGTGTGGTCTGCTTTTGCACAGTCTTAGATGATACAAAAAGTTTTAGGTATCAACTCGCATTTCAGTGAGAACGGTACTAATGTAAACAGATTGCAGTCAATCTGTCAAGCGAAAATATGTGTCTGGCATGTGTGGCATCCTCTCCATTTTTGTTGCTTCTGGTGGCACATGAAAGTATGTGTCTGATGGGCTGGTAACACAAACAAACAAGGGTAAAAATCTGTGAAGTTTTGCAAGAAGAGCAGACGATTGAAACGGCATTTATGCTAGTTCCGTTTCTCTGCACCTCGTTCGCGTTTGAGGATATGCTACCATATAAGCCAAACTATAACTACTGGGAATAAAGAGACTGCAGGTTCTCTTCGTGTCTTAACTGATAGGTATTCGTTTCACAATTATTTTGTTTGTGGAAGAAAACTTGGGACAAATGCTTGGCACTTGGATTTAGACACTTTAATTGGGTGGTTTCTAGCCGATCCCAGGTGATCCCTCAAACGTCACTACCTTTATTCCTTTTCCTAATTAGAGTACGATCTTTCATTTCATAACCTTGCTAAAATCCTCCTGACTGATAACTCCCCCCCCTCATCGATGAAATGCTTAGTAATCTACTCACGTGATGAGGCTGCACTGGACCCTTACAGTTTCCGTCAACACCTGATCATTTGATGACCGCTTGTACCAGGCCAGGTCACAAGACGAAGCCAGAACAAAGCTATCCATTAGTGAAATACACTCATTTGCAAACAACTTTGGTTGCGTGGGTAACTCATTTGGAACCCAGCGGAATTCCTCGTTTATGATCAGACATTACGAACATATATGCATCGCGATATCTCTAAAATCGCAGCGACTGCAACATGATGCGACCGGGTACAGTACATTCAGTTGCCTGGATACACTGAAAACGAGAGATTCAGCTGAGTTCCAAGTGAGTCTCTCGAAAAAACAAATGTTTGCAACTGAGTGTATTTCGAAACTTTCGTGCAATTTGGTTTCAAGTAGAACATAAGTTTGACGGAAACTCGGGGACTGCACCTACCTGATAAGCTTTAAAAAGGGCGAAACCGGACGTGGGCTGTTGAAGAATTTACAGCAACCTTATGAGTAGTGTATTAAGCTCCCCATTATTCCTGTTTTAAAAATCACAATGAATCTACTCACTGGATTTTAATTCTGACTACTCCAGTTGGCTCATAAGACAAATCATATCACCTACTTGTTTGGTTTACTTGTTTGGATTTCCTTGACTGTTCCTCACTGTCAGCAGACAATTCATTCTACATAGGCTTCATTCTGCTGGGTGCTCTCCTTCCTCGTTCTGTTGGTTAGCTAATTGACTTTTATTCTTTGCTGATGGAACGGCTTTGTTCTGTGCCTTCTAAAAAGACCAGTGATTTTCACCAAAGTGCACTTTTTTTTGCTTTGTCCCTTCAGCGTTATCCGGCCGACTTCCGGATCATTTGGTCAGACAGATATTCTGACAGCTTTTCATTTTCTCCGATATTCTAAAATGGTCGTTTCGAGACCTTTTCTATCTGATTTACTTTCTACGTGATTAGAAATGAACCTACAAGGCGTAAAATACGACTTTTCTAGGTCACTATGCGGTCACTCCTCAAATGAAGGACCTTGAACAGTATCCTCTCCATTTTTGTTGCTTCTGGTGGCTACCGGTGAGTTTGCCGCCTCTTAATCCGAACAGCTCAAGTTGAGTCAATCTTCCCAAACTCGAAGAAAGTCCCTTTTCCTGCAGGAAAGCAGTCTTATTGTCCTCTGCCTGTTCCCGTTACCTTGTATCGCTCTCATTTTGTTTCCTCTGACCTACTTGAGAACGACACTTTCGTGCTCACAGGATGTCTGAAACTCAATTTCCGACTGAATCGTTTCCACATTTAATTCACTACTTGAGTGTAGTGTATTCAGCCCACGTATACTTAACCAAACGTTCCATTCAAATCTCTCATCCCCAAGGTCTTACAGTCGTTCTGAGAATTCCTTTGCATGCTGTCGTTCCGTGTAGAAAAATTCAATCTTTCTGGTTGTATCTGTCACCGGAGACAGTCAAGACACAAGTTTGAAATCATTCTTTGTGTTTTATGCCTTGTAATTTTTTTAAAGAAAATTGCCAATCAATTTTGTGGCACAAACTGTGTCACTCAGTCGGGTCTCAGTAAAACTCACCTGTCTATCTACCTACCTGTCATTTCTATCCTACTCATGTAACAGAAACCATGAAACATGAGAAAACTGTGACTCACAATACCGTGAAATCCTGGCTGATCAGTGCACCATTTGCAGTCGACGTGTCTCGGTCGATAAGTGCGACGCCACTCAATCGCCTCCGAAAGTTGTTTGTATGCATCTTTCAGTGAGTATTTTCTTGCCTTCAGAAATCTCGTCAATCTGTGGACACGAATTCAATAAAAATAAGTGAATCATTTAACATGGGAAGTTGGTGAGTAGGCAGGATAATTTTCCATTCAAAAACACTGTTTAGTAGAACGAAAGCACTTTGGGAGCGTGGTTTCACTCATACTGTAATTATAGAAGATTAAGTTGGTGAGTAGGCAGGATAATTTTCCACTCAAAAACACTGTTTAGTAGAACGAAAGCGCTTTGGGAGTGTGGTTTCATTCACACTGTAATTAGAAAAGATGGCGTGACACCTTGGTACAGCTCCCGTGAAGTCTACTGATTGTTTTTGGGTGTAAAATTGACGAGTGAAAAATTCGAAATAAGAGTTCTCGGAGAATTTAGAAAGCGTGAAACTCGCCTTCTCCATGTGTCTTCATAAATGAACTGCACTGAATGGGCTAAACTAGTTGACAAGTCCAAATGTAAGAAAGTAAACGCAGTCGTTTCTATTAAAAACCGTTGCCTTCGATACAAATTATTTTCTTTCATGGCTGGCGTCTCGCTCAAACTGGTCTGCCACAGTGGAACGTTACTTCGACAAGTATAATTAACGTGAGTAGTTATTGCGCATGTGGCGCGAGCGTTCACACCACCTTCGTTCCCGATAGGTCCACATCAAAGAAAGGAAGCGCTAACCAGCAGGGCGAAACCCTGGTTGTAGCACGACCTGAATTCCGGACATCTGACATGCGAGGTAGGTGTGTTACAACTACCTCACGAGTGCATGGTAGACACGCCTGATTTCTGACGTCCAGAAATGAAAATGAGTTAACGTTCTAAAGATATAATTGGTTCACCCAACTCCTCGAATTATGAAAAACAACAGCCATCCTGACTGTCTCAATAGATTTCAAGACTTCCCATTCAGGCAGCCTTAAGGCTACTGGAAATTCGCTCGACGGCTGTTGGTCAATAGTAGTATGAGAATTTGAAACCGCAGTGGAGATTTCGTTTTGTAACTAAAGTCAGTCTATGCTTGAAATCCGAGAAACAATATTTTGTGTTATTCTAATCACAACGGAATAAATTCCGGAGAAGCTCGAAATTGTACCCTCTCAGCTGATCTTTGTTCGGCCACGAATGGGTGATAATTGAGTGGTAAACTCGTAATTAGATGCGATTTAGCGCCATCGACGCTCCAACCACAGAATTTACATCATACTGACTACCCTCGAATAAAGGATTCTCATGTTGAAATTCATGGGTATTTTGACTTGATCTCTCTGAGCTACCTGCAGTCTCCTGATCGTTTAAGCTCCAACTACTAGCTGGGAGGTCGTGGGTCCGAATATCATCGGAGATTCGTGGGTCACAGAAGCTTTCCTCTCAGATGTTTGGCATTGCTACAATTTGGTACTTCTAGAGTTCCAGATGATCATCGTTGTTCTGGTTGATACTGCCTACTGCAGCTTCGTAATAATGTATCGTTCTAGAGATTCCGCCTGAAGTTAAGCTGAATACAAACCGCTGTTTCCAACTGAGCCCGACACATGACAGTTTAGAAACAGTCATCAAATGCTCGCTGAATTCCATCAGCAACACATTATACAGTCAACCATATTCACGAAATAGTAGCCAATAAACACCCAGGCGCAACTGAAAATTCAGTACTACTGTATGATGGACACCTCCTCCGAGGAAACATTCTTAAAAGCCCATGAGAAGCCAACCTTAGTGAAATGACCTCCGGCTAAAGTGCTGTTTTTTACTCCTAATAAAATTAATCTTTTTTGGAAGAGACTTGGCGTTTCCTACTATACCATGATTAGTAAACGCAGCTGAACAGCTCCAACCTCGGTACAACCCGAGCAGTTCACTGAGTCCTTGAAAAAATGGAATGTCCTGACAAGAGGGTTACGCCTATTCTCCTCACGCACCAGTGTGAATGACCCATCTTATCAGCCCTCCATAGAATTGTTTCCGCACTGTCAGTCTAGTAAGGTCCATAATCTGATATTGGTTAGGAAAATTTGAGTCACTAGATAATTAAGAATGACCGTAAGACAATGTCTTTGAGGCACGGCTGAACATCAGAGCTGTATCTTCGTGTAACGTAATAGCGACAGCGAGCGAGGTCACAAAAATTACCCATGACCTACGTGACTGTTCATTCAGGTGAAAAATACTTGGAACCGATTGAGTAGTCATCGTTTTCGAAAAAGTTTAGCTGATATTTATATGGAGGACTTCGAACAAATAGCTTTGGCCGGATATCATTGTCCACCGGAAGATTTTGGTGTTACCTTGACGGTACCTTTGTTGTAATCTGTAGCGGACATTTCCATGTCCCCTCAACCAGCTCCACCTAATTTGCCTATTACATTCGTGTTTTCTAGATCACGCGACTTGCCTGCTACACAAGCACATAAATCACGTGATAAACGGGGTTCCCACCGCAACCTTGACCGACAA